CAGTTATAACCATCTCTGATCTTGTTGATAATACGGTGACTGACGACGAGGTCAAAATAATGTTACAATATAAAACGCTTAGATAGGAACAGCAAAGGCGGTGGTGACTACTGTGCCCTACAATTAGAAATGACCTTAGCTTACAACCCAAGACCCTGATTTTAAATAACAAAAACTGGCGAGATTCTATGTTTGAAGTGCCTGCTTTCCCCCCCTAAGACCAAACCCATCTTAGTAGGAACTAGTGACCGCCCTCCTGCCCAGACAGTTCTTAGGAAGACTTTCAGAGTCATGCCCGGACTTGAAACAATTGTGACAGGTGGACAGAGAAAACAATTGCACACGGACGTAAACGATGCCTGGGAAAAATTTTAAAAACAATGTTCACCTAACTACCATCCTTGATATTATTGCCAGTTAAAGAGGTTAGGATTTAAACGAAGAACTGAGACCTGGATGACTACTAGATATTAGATAATATGAAATTCAGAGACCAGCTGCTAAGAAGATTTAAAGCTAACATACCAGGATATTGGAGCACTAAATGAATTCCAAAGGGGAGGAAAGAGTACAGAGACTTATAAAAAGCAAAGGCAAGCACTATTGCACAAAAATGAAGAGTATAAGCATAACCTCAGAAAGCTCTGGCAACAACTAAAACAGTTGGGGTATAGCCATACCTGGAGTTTACCTAGAGAGAGTTCCGGGGGTCAACGCCCCCGCGGCCCCGGTCTTGTGACAAGGCCTCTTGGTGGAACATTGCGTGATCAACCAGGCTGTTGCTGCGGGCTGCACGCCAAACCAACGTACGAGCCACAGCCCGGCTGATCAGGAACTGCGACTTTAGGTGCTTTCCAGTGCCACTGAAAAGACTGCCAGGGTCTGTTGTAATCCCCCTTATGTATGCTGGGAGGCAGTTGAACAGTCTCGGGCCCCTGACACTTATTGTATGGTCTCTTAACGTGCTTTAAGTGACACCCGTTCTGCTATTCATTGGGGGGATGGTGCATCGTCTGCAAGTCTTTGCTTTCGAGTGAGTGATTTTCGTGTGCAAGTTCGGTACTAGTCCTCTAGGAGATTTCCAGGTGTATTAAGCAAGTATCGCTCCCTCCTGCGTTCCAGGAATACAGGTTTAGGAACCCAATCGCCTTCCCTGTAATTGAGTGTTTTATCTCCGTTATGCCGCCGTGGAAAGTTCTCTGTACATTCTCTAGTCGGCAATTTCATACCTGCCTTGAAAGGTGCTGTTAGTGTGCAGCAATATACAGCCTAGATAAGAACAAGTGACCTAAGAGTGTCATCATGGCTTGGCCTCCCGAGTTTGAAGGTTCTCATATCCATCCTGTCATTTTTTCTAGCGATCGATTTGATACAGTGTTATGGTCCTTGAAGGGTGTGATACTCTCGACATGATCACTCCCATGTCTTTGACGTTGGTGTTTCGCTCTATTTTGTGGCAGAATTTGTATTGTACCTGTATGAAGATTTACTTTCCTCGTGTTTACCATATCTGAGTAATTGAAATTTCTCATCGTGAACTTCATATTGTTTTCTGCAGCCCAACTGAAAGATTTGTTGAAGTCCGCCTGGCCTTGCTGAGTCTGCAATGAATGACATCTGTCATGCAGATTCGGTGTCCTCTGCATAAGGAAGACACGGTGCTGTGGAGCTGACATCCTTGACTATGCCGGATATGAGGATGAAAACAAGAATGGGAGCTAGTAACTGTGGCTTGTTGGAACAAGCTTTCACCGTGTACTGCCTCGGACCTTTACTCTGTTTGACGACTACTCCTCTTGTTCTGTATAGTGAGAAATTATAGATCCATCGACGACTTTTCCTGTTATTCCTTTAGATGCGCGCATTTGTGTCACTATTACGCCATGGTCCACACTTGTCGATGGCTTTTGCAAAGTCTGTATAATAATTACAATTCGCATTCTTTTTGTCTTGTTATGCATTTAGGACCTTGTCGTAGTATCCAATAGTTGAGACAGACAGGAAGCGACCTGTTCAGAAACCCATGTTTGGCCCTGGTTGTGTAACTTATGGATTTCTAGATGGGTGTGAGCTTGCTTCTGAGGTCCCTTTCTAAGATTCTTTATGATATGTGATGTTAGTGCTATTGGTCTGTAGTTCTTTGCTGTTGCGTTACTGGCCCCCCTTTGGGGAGTGGGCTATTCTGTTGTTTTTAGTAACGTGGACGACCCCCGTGTCCATGCTCCCTCTCCATAGATGGAAAAGCTCGTGATAGGGGCTTCTTGCAGTTCTTGATGAACTCAGATTTCCATGAGTCTGTGGCCCTGGGGCAGAGTGCATGGGCATGTCTTTATCTCCTGTTCGAAGCATTTGGCGTTCAGGATAAAATCGGATAGGCTTGGTGTTTAATCACATTTTGCGGCTCTCGCATAAAAAATTCATTTGATTTTCGACTCTCAGTCTGTTACGCTTGCTAAAACTGATCATATTGGGACTTGAGTAGCTCCACCTCATTCCTTGCTGTCATTGTGTAGACCCATTCTTGTTTAAGTAGGGGCCCATACTGACGTTGTGTTCTCGATTTTGAGTTGGGCATAGGAAGAAGAAATACTTTGGGTTTTCTTTCCGATTTCCATTTTGTCTTTATAGTTCTCTTCCCGCGATTCCTGACTCCTAAAGATTCTTTAGCTTAAGTTGATGCTTGCTATTTCTCTGACCAGTGACTCCCTACGCATTTCAGATATATTGACCTCTTTAACCGCTCTGTTATTCTTTTCCGTCGCCTGTAAAGGGAGCGCCTGTCTCTCTCTATTTTACATCTACTCCTCCTTTTTCTTAGAGGAATAAGGTAAAAGGACCCCAATGGAAATAAGTCACTCAGTCTGACTTTTTTGGGTTATCCCAGGTTCTCTACACATATGCTGCTATGTATGATAATTATATGTAACTGTATTTGTGTATACCTAGATAAACTTACTTACTTACTTATTTTTTCTTCAAATATAATGATCCTGACGCCAAATGACTTCGAACAGGCGATAAATGACATGCCCATGCACTCTGCCCCAGGGCCAGACTCATGGAACTCTGTCTTCATCAAGAACTGCAAGAAGCCCCTATCACGAGCCTTTTCCATCCTATGGAGGGGGAGCATGGACACGGGGGTCGTCCCACAGTTACTAACAACAACAGACATAGCCCCACTCCACAAAGGGGGCAGTAAATTATTATTATAATCAAGGGGGAAGCGCTAAACCCGGAGATAACAGCGCCTGGGTGGGGGGATGTGAAGGCCGTCGTCACGCTTTAATTTTCGGGACTGAGCACAGATCCAATTCCTAAATCAAGAAGCCCCCAACCAACATCAAGGAAACCTTTCTTGAGGGGAAGGGGGGGCAGTAAAGCCACAGCAAAGAACTACAGACCAAAGCACTAACATCCCATATAAATATCATAAAAATCTTTGAAAGGGTCCTAAGAAGTCAAGATCACCACCCATCTAGAACACATCATTACACAAACCCAAGGCAACATGGTTTAGAACTAGGTCGCTCCTGTCTGTCTCAACGATGGACACTACACAAGGTCCTAAATGCACAGCAGAACAAAAGAATTGCAGATGTAATATATACAGACTTTGCCAAAAGCCTTCGACAAGTGTGACCATGGCGTAATAGCGCACAAAATGCGTGCTCAAAGGGGGAAATAACAGGAAAAGTCGTCCGATGGATCTATATTTCCTCACTAACAGAACACCGAGAGTAGGCCGTCAACAGAGTAAAGACCGAGGCAGGCACGGTGAAAAGCTCTGTTCCACAAGCACAGTAGCTCGTCCCATCTTGTTCCTCATCCTCATATCCGACATAGACAAGGAGATGTCAGCCACAGCACCGTGTCTTCCTTTGCAGATGACACCCGAATCTGCATGACATGTCTGCCATTGCAGACCTGCAAAAAGCCTCCGGCGGAACATCAACCAATCTTTCAGTGGGCTGCAGAAAACAATATGAAGTTCAACGATGAAAAATTTCTCAATTACTCAATATGGTAACCACGAGGAAAATTAAAACTTCATCAAGAGTACAACACAAATTTCTGGCCACAAAATAGAGGCGAAACACCAACTTCAAAGACCTTGGAGTGAATCATGTCTGAGGATCCACATTCAAGGACCATAACATTGTATCAATCTACATCTGCTAGAACAATGTCAGATGGATAATGATAAACCCTTCAAAACTAGGGAGGCCAAGGCCCATGATGACACCCATCAGTCACTTGTTTCCTATCTACGGGAATATTGCTGCACACTAACAGCACCTTCTAGGCAAAGAATTGCTGACACTAGAAAATTTACAGAGAAACTTTCAAACGCGCGCATAACGTAGATAAAACACCTCAATTGACTGGAGCGCTGAGGTTCCTTAACCTGTATTCCTGAACGGCAGGACAGGGAGAAATACATGATTACACATACACCTGGAAAATCCTAGAGGACTAATAACCGAACTTTCACACGAAAATCACTCACTACGAAAGCCAAAAGACTTGGCCGAGACGTGCAACACCCCCAATGAAAAGCAGGGTGTCCACTAGCACGTTAGAGACCATACAATAAGTGTCAGGGGCCCGAGACTGTTCAACTGCCTCCCAGCATACATAAGGGGGATTACCAACAGACCCCTGGCAGTCTTCAAGCTGGCACTGGACAAGCACCTAAAGTCGGTTCCTGACCAGCCGGGCTGTGGCTCGTACGTTGGTTTGCGTGCAGCCAGCAGCAACAGCCTGGTTGATCAGGCTCTGATCCACCAGAAGGCCTGGTCACAGACCGGGCCGCGGGGGCGTTGACCCCCGGAACTCTCTCCAGGTAAACTCCAGGTAAAACCTATACACAAGAGGTTATCACAGAGTCGAGTGTTATCAAAGAGGTTATCAGAGTCGAGTGTTATCATGGACAAACAGGAATTAAACACCATAAATACAGTATAAGATAACAGTATCTTAAGCCTTTTACTTCTCTCCTGCGTCATTCACGTTAATAATGCAACGGCATTCAACGTGCAGGTGAAGGTACTGTCTTAGTGTGAGGGGACGTACAAACAGCAGCAGCCAGAGTGCTGTCCCTGGAGCTAGAACCCTACAATCAATAGCTATTGGATCACGTGCTATTTGTTTTTGTAAGAACGACTTGAGGACGTCTTAAGAGGTAAATGTTAGCACCCTGAATACACTGACACATTGTTAGGGGCCCAAGACTTCATCTGTCTTCCAGCAGACATAAGGGGGATTACCAATAGACCCCTGGCTGTCTTCAAGACTCCTGGCTGTCTTCAAGACTCATGGCTGTCTTCAAGACTCATGGTTGTCTTCAAGACTCATGGTTGTCTTCAAGACTCATGGTTTTTACTTCAAGACTCATGGTTGTCCCTTCAAGACTCCATGGCTGTCTTCAAGGACTCATTGGTTTCTTCAAGACTCATGGTTGTCTTCAGACCCATGCTGTCTTCAAGAACTCATGTTTGTGCTTCAAGACTCATGGTTTGTCTTCAGATCTCCCTGGCTTCTCAAGACTCAGGGTTTTGTCTTCAAGACTCATGGTTTTCTTCAAGACCCATGGCTGTCTTCAAGACTCATGGTTGTCTTCAAGGAGTACACATGGTTGTCTTCAAAGACCTCCTGGCTGTCCTCAAGACTCATGGTTTTGTCCTTCAAGACTCATGGTTTCCTTCAAGACCATGGCTGTCTTCAAGACTAGCTTGGTTGTCTTCACAAGACTCCTGGCTGTCTTCAAGACTCCTAGTTGTCTCAAGGACACCTAAGTTTGTCTTCAAGACCCCTGGTTGTCGTCAAGACTCCTGGCTGAGTTCCAGACTCTAGTGTGAACAATAAAATGGTATAAAAACAACGACAGGGTGTTTAGTTAAGACAGCAATCAACAGTAGATCTTTATTTCGAAACGTTCGCCTCCACAGTAGGCTTCTTTCAGTCGAGTACAGAAAAGTTGATAGAAGCAGAGATACTGAAGACGATTTAATCAGTCCAATCACTCCTTAAAGTTTTGAGGTGGTCAGACTGAGGACTGACCCTCAAAACTGTTCAGGGTGATGGACTGATTACATCGTCTTCAAGTACTTCTGCTTCTATCAACTTTCTGAGTACTCGACTGAAGATGCCCTACTGTAGGCGAAACGTTTCGAAATAAAGATACCTAACTGTTGCATAATGTGCTTTACCTAACTCGCCTAGTGTCTTCAAGACTCTAGTTGTCTTCATGACCCTGGTTGTCTTTCAATACTCCTGGTTGTCTTTCAAGCCCCTGGTTGTCCTTCAATTCAAGACCCTGGTTGTCTTCAGACTCCGTTGTCTTCAAGATCCCTGGTTTCTTCAAGACCCCTGGTTTTGTCTTCAAGACTTCCTAGTTGTCTTCAAGAACCCCTAGCTGTCTTCAAGACTCCTGTTGTCTTTCAAGACTCCCAAGTTGTCTTTCAAGACCCCAGTTGTCTTCAAGACTCCTGGTTGTCTTCAAGACCCCTGGTTGTCTCAAGACTCCTGGTTGTTCTTCAGACCCCTGGTTGTCTTCAGACCCCTGGTTGTCTTCAAGACTCCCTAGTTTGAGTCTTCCAGATCCCTGCTTCTTCAAGACTCCTGGTTGTCTTCAAGACCCCTGGTGTCTCAAGACTCCTGGTTGTTCTTCAAGACCCCTTTGTCTTCAAGACCCCTGGTTGTCTTCAAGACCCCTGGTTATCTCAGGGGGAGACACCCTTGTTGTCAAACTCCCTTTTTTTTCAAACCCTTGTTGTCCTTCAAGACCTAGTTTTGTATTCAAGACCCCAGTTGTCTTCAAGACTCTCCTATTCTCTTCAAGACTCCTATTGTCTCAAGACCCCTAGTTGTCTTCAAGACCTCCCTATTGTCTTCAAGACGCCCTAGTTGTCTTCAAGACCCCTTGTTTTGCTTCAAGACCCCTATCTTGTCTTCAAGACCCCTGGTTGTCTTCAAGACCCCTGGTTGTATTCAAGAGACCTGTTGTCCTTCAAGACCCATAGTTGTCTTCAAGACTCCCTATGTTGTCTTCAAGACCCAGTGTCCTTTCAATACTCCCTAAGTTGTCTTCAAGACCCCTGTTTCCTCAAGAACCCCTTGTTTTCTTCAAGACCTCTGGTTGTCTTCAAGACATTGGTTGTCTTCAAGACCTCTTGTTGTCTCACGACCCCTGGTTGTCTTCAAGCCCCCTTGTTGTCTTCAAGAACCCCTGTTTGTCTTCAAGACCTCTTGTTGTCTTCAGACCTTGTTTGTCTTCTAAGACCCCTAGTTGTTCTTCAAACCCTGTTTTCTTTCAAGACCCTAGTTGTCTACAAGGACCCCTAGTGTCTTCAAGACTCCCTATTGTCTTTCAAGACTCCTGGTTGTCGTTCAAGAACCCCTCTGGTTGTCTTCAAGACCCCTGGTTGTCTTCAAAGACCTCCTGGTTTTCTTCAAGACCCCTGGTTGTCTCAAGACCCCTGGTGGTCTTCAAGACCCCTGTTGTCTTCAAGACCCCTTGTTGTCTTCAAACCCCTGGTTGTCCTTCAAGACCCCTGTTGCTTCAAGACCCCTGGTTGTCTTCAAGACCCCCTGGTGGTCCTTCATACCCTGGGTTGCTTCAAGCACCCCCTGGATGATCTTCAGACCCCTGGTTGTCTTCAGACCCCTGGTTGTCTTCAAAACCCTGGTTTGTCTTCAGACCCTGTGGTCTTCAGACCCCTGGTTGTCTTCAAGACCCCTGGTTGTCGTCAAAACCCCTGTTTGTCTTCAAGACCCCTGTTGGCTCTTCAAGACCCCTGTGGGTCTTCAAGACCCCTGGTGGTCTTCAAGACCCCTGTTGTCTTCAAGACTCCCCTGGTGGTGCAACAAGACCCCTGGTGGTCATCAAGACGCGCCCTGTTGTTCTACAGCCCACCTGTGGTCTTTCAAGACCCCTTTTGTCCTTCAAGAACCCCTACTTGCTTCAAGACCCCGGGTTGTCTTCAAGACCCCAGGATTGTCTTCAAGAGCCCTAGTCTGTCCTTCTAGACCCCTAGGTTGTCTTCAAGACCTCCCTCTTGGCTTCAAGACCTACTAAGTTTGTCTTCAAAGACCTATCCCCCTTTAGTCTTCAAGGACCCCCCTGGTGTGGTCCTTCAAGACCCCTTTTGTCTTCCAAGACCTCCTGGTTGTCGCTTCATTCAAGACCATTGGTTGTCTTCAAGACCTCTGGTTGTCTTCAAGAACCCCTGGTTGTCTCAAGACCCCTTGTTTGTCTTCAAGTACCCCCAGGTTGTCTTCAAACCTTTCTTGTTGTCTTCAAGAACCTCTGGTTGTCTTCACGACCCCTAGTTGCTTCAATGACAAGCCCCTGAGCCTGGGATTGTCTTCAAGAACCCCTATTTCTTCAAGACCCCTATTTGTCTTAAGACTCCCTAAGTTGCTTCAAGACTTCTGTCCTGGTTGTCTTACAAGACCCTGGTTGTCTTCAAGACCCACTGGTTGTCTTCAAGACCCTGGTTGTCTTCAAGAAAAACAAAAAAAAAACAAAAAACTCTCCAAGCACAGACACCTCGACCGCTTTCACCAAGAAAACATTCGACGCAAAACGAAATAACCCACCGGACCCACACCCTGGTTGTCTTCCAAGAATTGAGAGGAAACACGCCGGCTTCCCTGGTTTGTCTGAAGACCCCTGGGTTGTTCTTCAAAACCCCCCCCTGGTTGTTTTCAAGACCCGCCGAAACACCACCCCCTGGTGTCTTGTCTTTTCAATTCCAAGAGCCCCTGGCGGTCCTTTTCAAGACCGCCTGGTTGTCCTTCAATCCCGCCCTAGTAGTTGTCCTTCAATGACTTGCGCCTTGCCCTAGTTCGTCTTCAAGACTCCTGTTGTTTTCAGGACCCCCCCTGGTTGTCTTTCATCAAGACCCACCCTTTATCACCACCGTGCGCCCCCGGTGGTTGTCTTCAAGACTCCTGGTTGTTCTCTTCAAGACCCCTGGGGGTTGGTCCTTCAGAGCACCCCTGGTGGGTCTTCAAGACCAGCCCTCCCCTCCCATGTTGTGCTACAAGAGAACCCCTGGCGGTTGTCTTCAAAACTCTCTGTTGGTCTTCAAAAAACCGCCTGGTTTTGTCGTTGTCCTTCAAGACCACTGGTGGTCTTTTCAAGACCGCCCCTTCCCTGTTTGTCTTCTTCAAGACCTCCCTGGTTTGTCTTCAAGAATCCCCTGGTTGTCTTCAAAACCCTCCCTGGTTGGTCTTCATTTGTTGGGTTGTCTTTTTCTTCACAAAGAAAAACAACACACCCCCTGGGTGGGTCGTTCTTTTTCAAGAGACCCCCCGTGGTTGTCTTGTCCTTCTTCAAGACCCCTGGTTTGTCTTCCAAAACGCACACAACCCCGATGGTTGTCTTGTCCTTCAAGACCCCTGGTGGGTCTCAAGACCGGGGGGGGGAGGGGCCCCTGGGGGTGGTGTCCTTTCAATAACCCCGGGTTGTCTTTCAAGACTCCTCTTCCAATCGTCCTGGGTGGTCTTTTTCACAAGACACCTGGTGGTCTTCAAGACCCCTGGTTTAATAAGTAGTATAATGACCATAAATATTCTTCTATAGATGAATTCTTATTGACTTCATAATAATTTGAATTTCACATTTTAATGTTGTTAAGGGACACAAATATTAAACCATAAATAAAGAGATAATTGTTAAATTCTTAACAATTTGTTATTTTTTTTAGTAACAAATGTGAGAGTCATGGTCCTGGCCACAACTTTATGTTGTGTCCGGTCATTAAGTTTGATACCCGTTAAAAACACACTTTCAACTTATTTAAGTCATAAAGTTCCCTTATCCAAGTTATAAAACTTTATTTTCTCTCTCATTCGGGGTAAAATTCCCCTTAAAAACACGTCAAATACGAGAGAAAAGAGAGAAAATAAGAAGAGGAAGTTGTAGTGTACCTTAATAAGGTGATCAAGATGGCGGGCGTCAGACTCCTGCTGACAGTGTTATCGACCAAGGTGTCATGTCGCAGCTTTAGCTGGTATATACCTGCTTCATCCAGGTGAAGGTCAGAGTAGTGATGTTCACAGGTATTAAGGTGCACTAACACAACAAGCTGTAGTTATCACTGGTGCTCTCACACGCTATTAACCTTCTGGTCTGTATTAACCCTTATTTAACATCGTAATTAGTACTAATTACCCATTTTAACAACTTAACAACCACTTAATAACATGTACTGGCACGAATTTTTACAAATAATTTTTTTTTTCGATTTTTAATTAATTTTTTTTAACCCCAATAGAAATAGTCGCTTATTTTTTTTTTTATCATTAATTCAGTACAAAATTCTAGTGATCTTGCCATTAAGGATTTAGCGCTTCCCAGTGGAAGTAATCAGGTACCCCAGTGGTAGTAATCAGGGACCCCAGTGGTAGTAATCAGGGACCCCAGTGGTAGTAATCAGGGACCCCAGTGTTAGTAATCAGGGACCCCAGTGGTAGTAATCAGGGACCCCAGTGGAAGTAATCAGGGACCCCAGTGGTAGTAATCAGGGACCCCAGTGGTAGTAATCAGGGACCCCAGTGGAAGTAATCATGGACCCCAGTGGTAGTAATCAGGGACCCCAGTGGTAGTAATCAGGGACCCCAGTGGTAGTAATCAGGGACCCCAGTGGTAGTAATCAGGGACCCCAGTGGTAGTAATCAGGGACCCCAGTGGTAGTAATCATGGACCCCAGTGGTAGTAATCAGGTACCCCAGTGGTAATCAGGGACCCCAGTGGTAGTAATCATGGACCCCAGTGGTAGTAATCATGGACCCCAGTGGTAGTAATCAGGGACCCCAGTGGTAGTAATCAGGTACCCCAGTGGTAGTAATCAGGGACCCCAGTGGAAGTAATCATGGACCCCAGTGGTAGTAATCAGGGACCCCAGTGGTAGTAATCAGGTACCCCAGTGGTAGTAATCAGGGACCCCAGTGGTAGTAATCAGGTACCCCAGTGGTAGTAATCAGGTACCCCAGTGGAAGTAATCAGGTACCCCAGTGGAAGTAATCAGGTACCCCAGTGGTAGTAATCAGGTACCCCAGTGGTAGTAATCAGGGACCCCAGTGGAGTAATCAGGTACCCCAGTGGTAGTAATCAGGTACCCCAGTGGAAGTAATCAGGTACCCCAGTGGTAGTAATCAGGTACCCCAGTGGTAGTAATCAGGGACCCCAGTGGTAGTAATCAGGTACCCCAGTGGAAGTAATCAGGGACCCCAGTGGAAGTAATCAGGGACCCCAGGGGAAGTAATCAGGTACCCCAGGGGAAGTAATCAGGTACCCCAGTGGAAGTAATTAGGTACCCAGTGGAATGGAAAATAAAGGTACCCCAGTGGAAGTAATCAGGTACCCCAGTGGATACCCAGTATAATTAGGTACCCCAGGAAGTAATCAGGACCCAGGGGAAGTAATCAGGGACCCCAGTGGAAGTAATCAGGGACCCCAGTGGAAGTAATCAGGGACCCCAGGGGAAGTAATCAGGTACCCCAGTGGAAGTAATCAGGTACCCCAGTGGAAGTAATAAGGTACCCCAGGTGGAAGTAATCAGGTACCCCAGTGGAAGTAATCAGGTACCCTCAGTGGAAGTAATCAGGGACCCCAGTGGAAGTAATCAGGTACCCGAGCGGAAGTAATCGGGTACCCGAGTGGAAGTAATCAGGGACTCCAAGGGAAGTAATCAGGTACCAAGTCCAGGGGAAGTAATCAGGTACCCGAGTGGAAGTAATCAGGGACTCCAGGGGAAGTAATCAGGTACCCCAGTGGAAGTAATCAGGGACTCCAGGGGAAGTAATCAGGTACCCCAGTGGAAGTAATCAGGGACCCCAGGGAAGTAATCAGGACCCAGTGGGAGTAATCAGGGACCCCAGGGGAAGTAATCAGGGCCCAGTGGGAAGTAATCAGGGACCCCAGGGGAAGTAATCAGGGACCCCAGTGGAAGTAATCAGGGACCCCAGGGGAAGTAATCAGGGACCCCAGGGGAAGTAATCAGGGACCCCAGGGGAAGTAATCAGGGACCCCAGTGGAAGTAATCAGGGACCCCAGTGGAAGTAATCAGGGACCCCAGTGGAAGTAATCAGGGACCCCAGTGGAAGTAATCAGGGACCCCAGTGGAAGTAATCAGGGACCCCAGGGGAAGTAATCAGGTCCCTGTAATCAGGGACCCCAGTGGAAGTAATCAGGGACCCCAGGGAAAGTAATCAGGGACCCCAGGGAAGTAATCAGGGACCCCAGGGGAAGTAATCAGGGACCCCAGGGGAAGTAATCAGGGACCCCAGGGGAAGTAATCAGGGACCCCAGGGGAAGTAATCAGGGACCCCAGGGAAGTAATCAGGGACCCCAGGGGAAGTAACCGTAGAAGCCTTCAAGAGGAAACTGGACAAGTATCTTCACCAGGTGCCAGATCAACCAGGCTGTGACGAATGTGTGGCACAGCGGACCCTCCAGCAACAACAGCCTGGTTGACCAGGCAAGCACCAGACGAGCCTGGCCCATGGCTGGGCTCCGAGAGTAGTGAAACTCTCGAAACTCTTCAAAGGTATATCAAAGGTAAAGGTATACCCCAATGGGAAACGAGTCACTTCGACTTTTGTTTTTGTCCTGGTGGGCAGTTTACGTTATACACTTTTGTATTATGTATAATATTATTATACCAATACAGGCCCCAATACAGGCCTCTATATGATAATTGTAATTATGCGTACCTGTGGCTAATTGAACCTAATTACTCACTCCCTAGGATAAATACACGAAGGGTAAACAAGTGGCCAAATGACCGACAATCGCGTTTACCGGACTCGAACCCTGGGCATCCCAGCCGAGGGTTTGAAGGACCAGTATGCAGATGGCATCGCTGCTAAGCTCTGGGAACTCTACATTGGCGACAAGAATAAAAGAACCGACATTTATCGCAATTTCATCATTAATCTGCTGAGGGACAAGAATTGTCATAGCATCCTGGATGTTGCTTGTGGCACTGGGTAAGCAGCATTCAAGTCTTCTCTAAACAGGTTTCAAGTCTTCTCTAAACAGGTTTCAAGTCTTCTCTAAACAGGTTTCAAGTCTTCTTTAAACAGATTTCAAATCTTCCTTAAACAAATAACCCGCACGCAGGAGAAGGAAATTTCTGGTGACTTTTCTGTCTGACTCGGACCATTAACTAGTCATTTCTGACAATGTTTCAGTCCAGGTTGGACCAAAACATCACCGCAGATTACCAATAGACCCCTGGCTGTCTTCAAGAAGGCACTGGACAGGCACGTAAAGTCAGTACCTGACCAGCTGGGCTGTGGTTTATACGTCAGGTTGCGTGCGGCCAACAGTAACAGCCTGGTTGATCAGGCCTTGATCCACCATAAGTTTTTTTTTTCTCCTATGTGTGGGTTATTTGTGTATTGATAAATGAGATGTGCAACATTTGGGTATCTTTAGTCTGGAAATGTGTCACTACTGCGGCTTCTTCAGTCCAGAGAAAAGCAGAAAATGACGAGGAGTTTGAGGTAATCAATCCCAGAATAAAGATACCCAACTGTCTCTTGTATCAACTTGTCAGTTTTCTAAATTGTTTACCCCTCAAGGAAGGTTCCTTGATGCTGATGAGGGGCTCTTGATCTAGGGAATTGGATCCATGGTCCAGTTCTCTGAATTAAGCCTGAATACCTTCCATTCCCCCCCCCCCCCACAGGTGTTTGTGTATTCCAGTCTCGGCATTGTGCCTTCTTATTTTTTTTAAATGTCTGTTCAGTGTCAATATTTTTCTGAGATACTTATGCATGAGTGGCATCATCCCGGGCGGGCGGACACCACTCGTGCATATGTTTGATTTCTGGGTGGAGGTACGAAATCCAGACCGAAATTTCGCCCAAAAAAGTGTTCTAAATCCGAATTGTACGATATTCAGACCGTACAAAACTGGAGTTCCACCGTATATTGCTCCAAGAATTTTTTTTAAGTAAATCTATAACCTTGTGTATGGTTGAGAGATGCTCGTTACAGAGCACCTGGAGGCTCGGTAATGATAAAATACCTAACTAAAAATAGAGGTTATAATCATCTAATGGGTGTAATTGTAACGATATTTTTTAAGTGGTGGAGAGGGAAGCTAGTGGAATTCCTCAGTCAGATGACCAAAAGCTCCAGATGTGGGTCATCATGCGACTAAGACCCGCATCAGGAAACACTTGTCCTCTTTCCTGACAACCCTGAGTAAGCTTTAATGATAATTATTATAATACAGTGGACCCCCAGTTTACGATATTTTTTCATTCCAGAAGTATGTTCAGGTGCCAGTACTGACCGAAATTAGTTCCCATAAGGAATATTGTGAATTAGATTAGTCCATTTCAGACCCCCAAACATACACGTACAAATGCACTTACATAAATTACACTTACATAATTGGTCGCATTGGGAGGTGATCGTAAAGCGGGGTCCACTGTATTGTATATATAAATGAATCATCACAATTTTAGCCTTGAAATCAAATACTAACTACAGCCTCTCCTCACTTAACGACAGAGTTATGTTCCCAAGACCACATCGGTAAGCAAATTTGTCGCTACGTGAGGATCATACTATACTGGTAGTGGGTTTGCGTTGACTATACGTATTTGATATTGTATTAACGTCACCTTTGCACCATTTATAACATTTCTGGTATATTTTTAAATGTTTGTACAGCAGTGTACTGTATATTGTAATAAACAGAATAGAGGAAATCAGCTCTGGTATACATTATTTAGGCATGCATGCTGGTCAGAGAGCTCGTCGTAAGTCCAAGGTGTCAGTAAATGAGTACGTCGCTAAGTAAGGAGAGGCTGTACTGTACATCTATGCTGTTCAGTTTCTTGATAGTTTTATTTTCTCTCTTGATGATGTTGAAGGGCTCTTGATCCAAGGAATTGGATAGATCCCTTCCTTAAATCTGATTACCTCCCATTCCCCAGGATGCAGTAAACCCTATGGGTATACTGCACCCCTATGCAGTAAACCCTGTGGGCTTACTGCACCCCTATGTGGTAAACCCTGTGGGCTTACTGCACCCCTATGTGGTAAACCCTGTGGGCTTACTGCACCCCTATGTGGTAAACCCTGTGGGCTTACTGCACCCTATGTGGTAAACCCTGTGGGCTTACTGCACCCCTATGTGTAAAACCCTGTGTGTTACTGCAACCTTAGTGGTAACCCTGTGTTCTGACCTTATGGGTAACCCGTGGTGCTTAATGCACCTTGGTAGAACTGTGGCTTACAAGACCCATGCTATTATGAATTATTAGTAAAAGATTGTTGTGATATGTAGCCTGGATAGTATAATGCTGCTGGAGGTTCAAGGACATGTGATTCTCGCAAAGTTGAAGTACGCCCTCTAAGATGTGGAAGACGCAAACGCTTGATAGGGTGAGTTAGTTATCGAAGAGTCAGTAAATAATAAAATCTTTTATTTCTTCAAAAGTGTACATAGAAGTTACTGTTAAAATTACAATTCATTTGGTAACAGTGTCAATAAAAAATATTTTCGACAGTGGTCCCATCTTTTAGTTCTTTAAAAACATACATAGGAGTTACAGTTGTTAGAACTGCAATTAATTTGGCAATAGTTTCAATACAATTTTTTTTTCAACACATTGGCTGTCTCCCATCAAGGCAGGGTGACCAAAAAAAAAAATGGTTTTAACATGTACTAATTCTTACAGAAGGGGTTACTAGCCTCTTGCTCCATTTTAGTCAGTGCTGATAGCGACAACTTTCTCATTTAGCTAAAACCCGATGGAGTCAGAAATTACTGGTATTACATGCCCAGTCTTATCTGGTGACAAACATTTACAAGTAACGGAACCCCAAGTGACCACCTCATCTTCCCTTATCATTAAAAATTAATGTTTTCAAGATTACATTCCTAAGATGCCACTGTTTACTGATAAGATGCTGCTACGTTATAGCATGTCATGATACTTTATGATGTATTGTCATTAATGAATTATAAGTGCGCAATATTTTATCCAAGCCAAGTTTTGCACTGCACTGTAATGTTATGACATTTAGTGCTATTATGATTATTATTACTATTTTAATACGCTGACTGGAATCCACTGAGCATGGGTAACCTAAAAAGAAAAACGAAAGTTTCTCTCTAACTTTAGTATGGTATATAGAAGGGGTTACTAGCCTCTTTATCCGGCATTTTAGTCGCCTCTTACAACACGCATGACTTATGGAGGAAGAATTCAGTTCCAGTTCCCCATGGAGATAAGAGGAAATAAACAAGAACAAGAACTAGTAAGAAAATAGAAGAAAACCCCGAGGTGTGTGTATATATATGCTTGTACATGTATGTGTAGTGTGACCTGAGTGTAAGTAGAAGTAGAAAGATGTACCTGAAATCTTGCATGTTTATGAGACAGAAAAAAGACACCAGCAATCCTATCATCATGTAAAACAATTACAGGTTTTCGTTTTATTCACTTGGCAGGACGGTAGTACCTCCCTGGGCAGTTGTTGCCTACCAACCTACTACATATTATTATTATTATTATTATTATTATTATTATTATTATTATTATTATACAAAACTTAGTTACTTGAAGATGGCAGTTCTTTTCTTCAACCATTCCAGGCATTATCTTTATTAATTTTCAACTTGCTGACCATCTCCCACCAAGGTAGGATGACCCAGATAATAAGACATTCACCATCATTCAGTACCTGTCTTACCAGAAGTGCACAGACTTTACAATTCAAATTAGTCTCCAGATTGCACATCCCCGCCCGTCCTTCAATGTGCAGGCACTGTACTTTCTACCTTCAACAATCTCAAGTCCAGTTAAACTTTATTCTGAATCCCTTCATAAATGTTACCTTGGACACACACCAGTAACATGTCAGCCCATGAGAAACATTTGTCTCCATACACTCTCTCTCTCTCTCTGATCTATCTTGCTATCCATCCTTCCATTCCTGGTTTACACATGACTCAAGAAATCGTAATGACACGATTGCAAATAAACCATACCCCCGGCCGGGATTGAACCCGCGGTCATAGTCATAGAGACTCTATGACCGCGGGTTCAATCCCAGCCGGGGGTATGGCTGGTTTACACATGTTTTGGTTACATTATTCTGTTGCAGTAACCCTTCGTCCTTCCTCATCTATTTGACTTATACTTTGTGTAAGCCCATACTTGATTTCTACACTCTGACTTCTGTGTATAATACATACTGTATTCCCACTACACAATGCGCTCTGATATGAGAGTTCCACTGCCTCTAGTCTCTTCCTTACTGCAATGTTTAAAACCCATGCCTCACACCCATGTCAAAATAGTAAAATTGTTTTTCTCGATAGACAAGTGATTGGCGAGTTAATTTTACGCTGTTTGCAGTGATCGAGGAAGCTAACTGGTTAACTCTTCCGGAGGACATCGAGGGTGCGGAGACTTTTGATGCTGTTGTCTGCCTGGGAAATTCTTTTGCTCATCTGCCTGACATATCTGGAGACCAGTCGGAACACAAGTAATTTTAATGTGCAATCTTGTATTCAGAACCAGTTTGTAGAAAGAAGAAGAAGAACCGGTTGATGAACAGAGTACAGTGGACCCCCAGTTAACGATATTTTTTCACTCCAGAAGTATGTTCAGGTGCCAGTACTGACCGAATTTGTTCCCATAAGGAATATTGTGAAGTAGATTAGTCCATTTCAGACCCCCAAACATACACTTACAAAAGCACTTACATAAATACACTTGCATAATTGGTCGCATTCGGAGGTGATCGTTATGCGGGGGTCCACTGTACTTACAAGGTGATAAATGAGACACTTGTGTAACATTTAGGTATCTGTACTGTGGAAGTGTTTTGTCAGCCAGTGGCTTCTTCAGTCCAATTTGGAAAAAGGTGGGAGATGAGTTTGAAGTAATCAGTCCCTCAGCTTGGAGTATGTCTTCAGTTTATCAAGACTGTTGGACTGAATACATACACTCCAGGCTGAGGGACTGATTACTTCACCCTCCTCATCTTCCACCTTTTTCCAAATTGGACTGAAGAAGCCACTGGCTGGTGGAATGTTTTCAGAATAAAGATACCGAAATGTTGGACAAGTCTTACATTTATTCATATACTCTTAAGTTTTTCAGCACAGTATTCAAGTACATAGTTACTGCTAGGTGAACAGTGACAGCAGGCATAAGGTGACTAACACCCAGGTACCTACTTGTAGATGAATGGCTCAGAGAACCGACAAGTTGATAAATTAGACACACATGCAACACTTGGGTAATCTTCATTGAGATACCCAAGTGTTGCATATGTGTGTAATTTATCAGGTACCTACTTGCTAGGTGAACAGTGACAGCAAGTGTAAGGAAACATACCCAATGGTACCACCAAGCCAGGGAATTGAACCACAGTTATTATTGAACATTGACAGACGTTCAATATACTTCAGTTACCCATATATACTGATGTTCCAGATTAGCCCTGAAGAATTTCGCCCAGATGGTGAAGCCAGGAGGGATCCTGGTTATTGATCACCGTAATTACGACTACATCATAGACTCTGGGTCAGCGCCTTCTCACAACATATACTATAATGTAAGTTGTTTGTTTTTTGTAATACATTGGCTACTTCCTCCCAAGGCAGGGTGACCAAAAGAGAAGAATCAAAAGTGTTTCTTCTCTATATTTAGTAATTAATGTAAATTTTGTAATGCATTTCAATGAGAGACGGCTGATGTGCTGAAAAATTTTTTATTTATGCCTCATTTATTCCATTGTTCTGCCACTCAGGGAGGGAAAGTCTTATTATTATTATTTAAACATTGCTTTTTTTCTCAGCTTGTAACTATGGTCTCTTATTCCTGCTGTTGATGGCTGTTATGCTTTTGTTTTCAAGGTGTTGCACTGTACTTGATAATTTTATTTAAATGTGAAGTGTAAACAACAATAGTTCTGAATGACAATAGTTCTGGATAGTACGGAGTTAACAATAGCTGATGATGAATTAAGATTTTAGGCCCAACTACTTTATAATTTTGTATCATAACAGGTATAACTTCACAGATGACGCATCAGGAGAGGAACCTTTTAACAATGTTTTGGTCCATCGTTTGGTCACATCATAATGGTCCAGGACAGACCAGAATGTTAGAGTAAAATTCTTCGAAGTTTGTTACTTGTGAATTGTCGCTGCTATTGTAATGTGACTTTATTTTCCATAACGTCATGTAATTTAATAATTATTTTTTTCAGAGTGAGCACATTCAAGATATTAAAACGTCTGTGTTATATATTAATGGAAAGCCATCTCTAGTGACGCTAGATTATTTAATGGATGTTAAGACTGCATCTCGTGACGAAACCGACTCGGATTTCTCCAAGAAGGGAAGAGTGGAGGGCCCTACTAGAAGGTGAGCGTCCTTAACTTACAAGGAAATATAGGTGCTCCTCAACTTACGAAGGTGTTACGTACCGACGAACCCATCGGAAGTTGAATACGAGTACGATGTGGTAAATGTATAAGTAAATAACTGCTGTCAATAAATAAGTAAATAATTAATTACTCTAAATACCAGTACAGGTGGTTCTTGACTTACGACCCCTCAGGGAAGGTTCCTTGATGCTGGTGAGGGGCTCTTGATCTAGGGAATTGGATCTGTGCTCCAGTTCCCTGAATTGAGTCTGAATACCTTCCATCCCCCCCCCCTTCCCTACAGGCGTTGTATAATCCCTATGGGTTTAGCGCTCCCCCATAATTATAGTAGTAGTTGACTTACGACAGTGTTACACTACAATGATACTATTGTAAGTCGAATACGTATAAATAGGGGTAAATAAAACTGCCACTGAATGAGTACGGTGGTACCTCGGAATATAAACTTAATTCGTTCCACAAAGATGTTCAAGTACCAATACCGAACGAATTTGTCCCCATAAGGTATTATGTAAATTAGATTAATCCGTTTCAGACCCCCAAAAATATACTTACAAAAGCACTTGCATAAATACTCTTACATAATTATTCGAGTTTTGAGCTGTTTGTATCCAGAGGTACCACTGTAAACTGTAAATAAATAATTACTGTAAATACCAGTACAGGTGGTCCTTAACTTACGATGGTTTACATTCCAGTGATCCCATTGTAAGTCGAATATAAATAGGGGTAAATAAAACTGTTACTGAATAAGTAAATAATTACTGTAACTAAATACCAGTATTGAAAAGTAAATAAATGAATCAGAGTTAAGTACTTGTTACCTTCATGTTGAGTAATTATCTAACGCTTCATCTCCAAAGTAATTGCTGCCGCACCGCCGTAATGTTGAAATACCGTAACTCAAACCATAAATTGAGGAGCACCTGTTAATATTACAGTTGTACATAGAACAGGTATTGAAGGATTTTTTTTACTGTGTTGCAAAGGCAATCTGGTATTAAAAATTGAGATATTATAAATTAAACTCATTATGATTGCTCTGTGGAAAGAATTAGTATAAAAAAAATCAAGAAAACATATTTATGCTGTCTTTTTATTTATTCATTGCTGCATACATAGTAAAATTAAAATTAAAAAAAATAATATAAGGTCAGATGGGTCCAGTACAGGTGAGCCTAGAGACATCATCATCATCACATAATAATAATAATAATAATACTGGTCTGCAGTGTTCAAATTATCACAGTTTTTTTGTAACGTACAAAAATATTGCCGAAAAATTTTGCTTAATGCTAAGTAGTTAAACGTGTTTAAACGCTCTCTTTATTTACAAGAACAAACATTTGTTCAGTATAACATTTTGTTCTTGTATATGCGCTAAATTTTAAGGAAAACCATTTTGACGTATTTTTTTTCCTCTTGTTACAGTAATTTCCGCCTCTCGTATTTTCCTCACCGAGTCTCGAGGTTCAGCGAGCTTCTTCAGGATGCCTTCGGTGAGAAGGCTAAGCAGTGTGTGTATGGGGATTTTAGGCCTATTGGGGAGGTGAAAAATCCTGGATTCTTCATACATGTAGTTGAGAAGCCTATATAATGAGTTAGAAACTCAGATAACTAATCCAAAGTTGATGATTGTGATATTAATTTCAAGGTAGGTTTAGCTAATAATTTGTATGTTGCCTAAAGAAAGTAGACTTGACATCAGTAATTTGAAGACAATAGATGAATGTCATTCATGCTTTGATTTTAAGCAGTTTTGCAAATTTGTACTTAAAGTTTATTGTAGATTTGGCATTGCCTTGCAAATTACATTATATAACAGCAGCACACAAATAACCCGCACATAGAAACGACGTTTTAGCCCAACTTGGACCATTTACAAGTTAGCGTGACATGTAAATGGTCCGAGTCAAACCGAAACGTCCTCATAAGCTCCTCCATGTGCAGGTTATTTATGTCTTGTTTCAGTCACGGTATTGTGCCTTTATGTTCTTTATCAGCAGGTTGCCAATTGCCGAAAAAAAGTGCCTAGCAAATTTCCCACGTGTTTCTGCCTTCCTTATATAAAAGCAACACCGGGTAAAATATATGCAGTATATGGCAGTCAAAATATTGTATAGGCACAAATTTTTTTTTAATTTTTAGACCCACTGTTGTAATGACTTGATGTTGAAATATACATCGTTTGTCCAGAAAATTCAGTGTTGTTGGTTAATATTTCTAAATATTAATTAATAATGCTATTAATATGTCTGTGTAATATTTTAAAGAGGCTGTTACCAATATGTAAATTACATCAACCCACAGAAATTTCTAATGTATATTTGAGTCATGTCAGAACTGTACTCTAGTTTCAAAATTAAAACTAATCAGTACTGTACTCTAAAAATTAAAACCAGTTAGTGCTGTACTTTAAAAATTAAAACCAGTTAGTGCTGTACTTTAAAAATTAAAACCAGTAATTTCTAGGTTTACATGTTGGTTCAACTGCCATAGTAAAAAAATAACACTTTTGTCTTGAGGGAAAACCAAGTGTATATGGAGGCTGTTACATTTTGAATCTTACCCCAAATTAACTTGGCTAATCTTGCGTACAACTATTAGCACAGCTCAATGTTTGTCAACGATTCGCATGCTGATTTAGCGAAGCCAAATATTTGCTTTCTGCTTTCACAACCAGAAATGTTGGCTGAAGGTGTATGGCAGACATGTGTGGACAAACATATGTGTATGCACCGAGTGTCTTTAAATACCATTAGTGCTTAATTTTGATGGTATTAATTTAAATACGGTTGCATTAAGCCACAGAATGGGTGGGGATCGAACTCATGGCAAGGGAGTCCATGGATGACTCTTATTGTAGCCGAGTGGCCCAGTTGTTAACACACTGGTCAGGAATTTGAGAACTTGTTTGCCGTGGTTTCAGTCCCCGCTCGTTCAGTGGTTTCTTTGCAATCGTGATACGATTACGTTCTTAAAAAGGTCTACTTAGAGCAGAGTCTGCATGAAGACTTGTTCAGTATACTAGTATCTTTGTTCACAAATAACACTGCCTTGCAAATTATGAACAAGTGTTCTGCAACACTGCAAGTGGCTGTCTTTATGGTTGATAACAATAGATAATTATGAAATAATTGAATGAAGGGTAAAAAAAATGGGGAATAGTAATATTTACTGCCGTGCAGTATAGTTCATAATGTTGATTAAAAAATGTTTATGTATTCTTAAAAGAGGAATTAAGGTCCAAAATATAAATGATTACATGTTGGTTGTGTGATATTTTTACCCCAACTTGTTCCTCATGTGTGTTGATGCACAAGTGTGTTTACAAGTTTTTGTTTGTAGATGTGTGTAAAAAAGGGGCCAAGTAGGAAATATAGAAGTTAATTTAACTTTTACATAGTTATAATTTGTTAATTGTTTATATGAGATGTCAGCTGCAGTTTGTTTTGTTTGAAACGGTTCATTCCAAGTGATGTCGCATTTAATATATATTTAAAACTTTATAAAATCTCCAAATTTTTTTTCTTTTTCCTTATAGAACTCTTTTTTTTTTTTTTAAAACATCAGCTAACTCGACTGATGTCGGAACACCCGTAAAAGAAGAAACACTTGTGGTGCTTCTGTCTTCACATAACTGCAACACTGATGAAAAAATTATGAGTTTTTCATCATCCTTCCATCGCTGTATAGCCTTGGCTTGCGCTTCTTTGTTTAATAATATAATAATCATCCTTCCATCAATGGAGGTTCCTTGATGATGGTGAGGGGCTCTTGATCCAAGGAATTGTAGCTATCTTCTCGCTGCGTCACACCAAGTTACTACAATTTTTTAGAAATGTACAATGATGAGCGTTGACGTTGCTCGTTAGGTCAAGGTAAACTACCAGTGTGGTAAACTACCAGTGTGGTAAACTACCAGTGTGGTAAACTACCAGTGTGGTAAACTACCAGTGTGGTAAACTACCAGTGTGGTAAACTACCAGTGTGGTAAACTACCAGTGTGGTAAACTACCAGTGTGGTAAACTACCAGTGTGGTAAACTACCAGTGTGGTAAACTACCAGTGTGGTAAACTACCAGTGTGGTAAACTACCAGTGTGGTAAACTACCACTTCTTGCAACAGTCAATAATTGATTTAAAAGGATAAAAAAAAATACACAATAAACTTAGATCTTTAATAATTAAATATTATAATTGATAATTTATATACACGAGTAAAAAATATTTTACTGCGAGTGAGTTTTTAATTTTAAATCATCGCTGCATGACCCTTGTGGGTTTAGCAGAGTTCTTCTTGTGAAGGGCTCTTGATCTCAGGAATAGAAGCTGCCCTATCATTTCTTTTAGCAACATTAATTATTTTAATTTTTCCGGCACTGTATGACCCTACAGGTTTAGCGCTTTCGTGTAATTTTGATAAATCAATCACTGATGCCTTATAACTTCTTGGGTGACAATCATAACTAGGCGCTAAACCCACAAGGGTTGTACAATCACAATACACATCTCACACTGCCATACAGGTTTAGCACACGTCTCGCACATCAATGACGCTGATGTTATTTTGGGCGCCTGTTTGGTTTATTTTTGGCTGGTTTAGTGCGCTGAGAGTCATCATTGTCTTCGTTGCTCTGAAATAAAAAAAATAGGTCTAAATACAGCCTCTCGTCACTTAGCGACGTACTCATTTACCAACGACTCGGACTTACGACGGCCTCTCTGACCAGTATGCATACCTAAATAATGTATTGTATTTCGCGGCTTATTAGATGCATTTTTTTTCTCCAAAAAATATCTCCAAAAACCTGCCTGTGTCCTATAAACTGGAGGTCAGTGATGGGAGCTATAAGCACGGGGTGTGGGGTGGGCTGAAGCTCTCCCAGTTACGTCCGATGCCGAGCCATTGAAACTAAAACAATTCTTATGAGCCACAAAATACGGTATATTAGAGCTGATTTCCTCTCTTCGGTTTATTACAATATACAGTAAACTACTGTATAAACATTTAAAAATATACCACACACTCAAATCTCACTCATTCAAAGGAGTCGGAAACTTGCAATGCCAGTTGATGAAGGTCGAGAGGTGGGACCAGGAGCTAGAACTTAACTCTCAGAAACAATCAATGAATTAAGGATACCCACATACCCCCTGGCTGTTTTTAGGACCCCTGGTTGTCTTCAAAGAGGGAGCTGGGGACACACGCAGTACCTGACCAGCCGGGCTGTGCTTCCTACATTGATCCCATGTATCAGAAATCTTCCCTATGAGGATAGACTGAGGGCCCTGAATCTGCACTCTCTCGAAAGGCGTAGAATTAGGGGGGATATGATCGAGGTGTATAAATGGAAAACAGGAATAAATAAAGGGGATGTAAATAGTGTGCTGAAAATTTCCAGCCAAAACAGGACTCGCAGCAATGGTTTCAAGTTGGAAAAATTCAGATTCAGGAAGGATATAGGAAAGCACTGGTTTGGTAATAGAGTTGTGGATGAGTGGAACAAACTCCCGAGTACAGTTATTGAGGCTAAAACGTTGTGTAGTTTTAAAAATAGATTAGATAAATACATGAGTGGGTGTGGGTGGGTGTGAGTTGGACCTGACTAGCTTGTGCTGCTGGGTCTGGTGCAGTGCTCCATCCTTGAGTGGGGATGACCAGACTGGGTGGGTCATTGGTCTAATCCGGAGGGGGGACATGGACCTGCTCCGCATGGGTCAGTAGGCCTGTTGCAGTGTTCCTTCTGCAGGTTGATCAGGTCCTGATTCACCACCAGGGATGATCATGGACCGGCCTGCAGAGGCCTTGATCCCCGGAACAACCTCCAGATATACTCCAGGTATACTCCAGGATACCAACAATAAGATGAGTCACTAGAGGGATACACTACCTAACAACAGCTCTAACCTTCACATCTTTACTTAGAGGATTGTTAGGAGATTTAGCTTAAAGCTAAGACGGTGTCACAAAAGCCACAGTGGTGGTGATGGAATAATAAAATATTAGTGTACAGTATACAAAACACTTAACTGGGTGTAGCTAATAAATCTATAATTGTTTAATAAGTGCTTTACCTGGAGTATATCTGGAGAGAGTTCTGGGGGTCAACGCCCCCATGGTCTGGTCTGTAACCAGGCCTCGTGGTGGACCAGGGCCTGATCAACCGGGCTGTTACTGCATTTGTGACATACTGAATATCATGTCCAGAAAATATACTGAAAGACAATGGTCAATGCATGATATCACAGCTTCACTATCTTCATCAACATTTAACAGTTCCTTAAGTTACTCCCTCCATCTCCCCATCTAATAACTCTCCTCTTCTATTTTTAACTGTCAAGTCTATTCATTCTTAAGGCTTTGTCAACTTATTAATCTCACTCCAAAACTTTCTCTTATGTTTGTTACTGAGTTTGAGTTTGAGAAAGACCTGCCTGGTATGGGCCATCGGTTTGCTACCGTGTTCCTCCTTTTTTTTTTTCTTAAACACACTGGCTGTCTCCCCTGAGGTAGGGTGACCCGAAAGAGAAACACTTCCACCATCATTCACATTATCACTGTCTTGCCAGAGGAGCACAGATACGACAGTTTAGACGTCCCTCCAAACAGTAAATATCCCAAACCCCTCCTTTAAAGTGCAGGCACTGTACTTCCCACCTCCAGGACTCAAGTCCAGCTAACCAGTTTTCCTGAATCCCTTCAGAATGTTATTACCTTGCTGTAGGAACACATACCTGTTGTTTCCATTCTCGTTGTAGTTCTGCCAACATTTTAGGAGAGAGGAGGCCTTGTGTTAAGAGTCGGTCCGCAAGACTACCGTTAGAGAAGATCCTCTTGTTTATCTTGCTGGAAGTTTTCTTTTGTCTGGCTGTGGCTTGAGGTAAGTCCTCCGAGTCCTCCAGTGTAAGTTTGCGACCTGCAATGATCATGCCATTAAATTAATTTTCTTAACACATTACTTGTTTCTCACTGAGGCAGGGTGACCCAAAAAAGAAAAAAACGCCTTTATCATCATTCACCCCATCATTGTCTTGCCAGAGTGACACCTACGCTACAGTTCAAAACTGCAATGTATCCCTGTCTCTCAGAGTACAGGCAATGTACTTCCCACCTTCAGAGTACAAGCACTGTACTTCCCACCTTCAGAGTACAAGCGCTGTACTTCCCTCCTTCAGAGTACAGGCACTGTACTTCCCACCTTCAGAGTAAGGCATGTACTTCCCACCTTCAGAGTACAGGCACTGTACTTCCCTCCTTCAGAGTACAAGCGCTGTACTTCCCTCTTCAGAGTACAGGCACTGTACTTCCCACCTTCAGAGTACAGGCACTGTACTTCCCACCTTCAGAGTACAGGCACTGTACTTCCCTCCTTCAGAGTACAAGCGCTGTACTTCCCTCCTTCAGAGTACAGGCACTGTACTTCCCACCTTCAGAGTACAGGCAATGTACTTCCCACCTTCAGAGTACAGGCACTGTACTTCCCACCTTCAGAGTACAAGCGCTGTACTTCCCTCCTTCAGAGTACAGGCACTGTACTTCCCACCTTCAGAGTACAGGCAATGTACTTCCCACCTTCAGAGTACAGGCACTGTACTTCCCACCTTCAGAGTACAAGCGCCTGTACTTCCCTCCTTCAGAGTACAGGCACTGTACTTCCCTCCTTCAGAGTACAGGCACTGTACTTCCCACCTTCAGAGTACAGGCACTGTACTTCCCTCCTTCAGAGTACAGGCACTGTACTTCCCACCTTCAGAGTGCAGACACTGTACTTCCCTCCTTCAGAGTACAGACACTGTACTTCCCTCCTTCAGAGTGCAGACACTGTACTTCCCACCTTCAGAGTACAGGCACTGTACTTCCCACCTTCAGAGTACAGGCACTGTACTTCCCACCTTCAGAGTACAGGCACTGTACTTCCCACCTTCAGAGTACAGGCACTGTACTTCCCACCTTCAGAGTACAGGCACTGTACTTCCCTCCTTCAGAGTACAGGCACTGTACTTCCCTCCTTCAGAGTACAGGCACTGTACTTCCCACCTTCAGAGTACAGGCACTGTACTTCCCTCCTTCAGAGTACAGGCACTGTACTTCCCTCCTTCAGAGTACAGGCACTGTACTTCCCACTTCCATGGCTCGGTTAAATAGTAATGAATTAAAACTTTCGGTAATTTTATCGAACAATGGACACAGTGGCGCCTCAGGATACGAACACCTCAAAACTCGAGCAATTATGTAAGTGTATTTATGTAAGTGCTTTTTAAGTGTATTTTTTGGGGTCTGAAACAGATTAATCTAATTTACATTATACCTTATGGGAACAAATTCGTTTGGTATCGGCACTCGGACAGCCTTCTGGAACAAATTACGTACAGTGGACCCCCGCTTAACGATCACCTCCGAATGCGACGAATTATGTAAGTGTATTTATGTAAGTGCGTTTGTACGTGTATGTTTGGGGGTCTGAAATGGACTAATCTACTTCACAATATTCCTTATGGGAACAAATTCGGTCAGTACTGGCACCTGAACATACTTCTGGAGTGAAAAAATATCGTTAACCGGGGGTCCACTGTAATTTTATATCCCGAGGTACCACTGTATAGTAAGCTTGTCAGACGCTCTTGTACAAGAGGGTTTAATATGCTCACTGAAAAGCTGAATAATGATTCATGTTGTAAATTGAAGATTCAAGACACTTTTGCAACACCTGGGAATCTTTATAGAGAAATGTTTGCAAGCCAGCAGCTTCTTCAGTCCAATACAGAGAAGAACGGTGGAAGATGAGGAGTTTGATGTAATTAGTCCCTTAGCCTGGACCTGAAGTGTGTGTGTGTGTACCTGTGTGTGTCTACCTCTGAGTGTGTACCTATTAATGTGTGTACCTGTGAGAGTGTGTATACCTCTAAGTGTGTGTTTCTTGCGTTGATCCATGATGAATGTGTCTTCAGTGTCAGCGGCAGCGCTGGAGCTCTGGGTGTCAGAGTTACGAATGAGTCGCACAATCTTTGTCACACCATCATCAATAATGCCATCCAGTTCTGTTTGCAGGTCTCTCACTAATTCTGCTTCTGGAAACATGTCGGTGAAGCGGTAACTGAAACACAAGTCAATAAGAGCAAATCATTTTATATATCCGTATTTTTTTTTAACAAGCTAGCTGTCTCCCACCGAGGCAGGGTGACCCAAAAAAGAAACACTTCCACCATCATTCACACTAATACTGTCTTGCCAGAGGTGTGCAAATATAACAGTTCAGATGTCATTCCAAACAGCAAATATCCCAAACCCCTCCTTTAAGGTGCAGGCATTTTACTTCCTACCTCCAGGACTCAAGTCCAGCTACCTGATTTCCCTGAATACCTTCACATAACATTACTCACACTCCGACAGTTCGTCAGGTCCCAAAAACAATTTGTCTCCATTCACTCCTATCTAACATGCTCACACATACCTGCTGTATGTCCAAGTCCCTTGCACATAAAACCTTCTTTACCCCCTCCCTCCATCCTTTCCTAGGACAACTCCTACCCTGCCTTCCCTCCACTACAGATTTGTACACTCCAAGTCATCCTATTTTGTTCCACCCTCTTTAAATGTCTGAACCACCTCAACAACCCCTCTTCAGCCCTCTGGATAATACTTTCAGTAACCCCGCACCTCCTTCTAATCTCCAAGATATGAATTTTCTGCATAATATTCACACCACACATTGCCTGCAGACACAACATATCCACTGCCTCCAGCCTCCTCCTCCACTGCCTCCAGCCTCCTCTACTGCCTCCAGCCTTCTCCTTGTTACAACAGTCACCAACCATGCTTCACACCCATATAATAGTGTTGGTATAACTATACTCTCATACATTCCCATCTTTGCTTCCGTGGACAAAGTTCTTTGTTCCCTCAGACTCCTCAGAGCACAACTCATCTTTTTCCCCTCATCAATTCTATGATTCACCTCATCTTTCATAGACACATCTGCTGACACGTCCACTCCTAAATATTTGAATACATTCACCTCCTCCATACTCCCTCAGTTCACACAATTAAATTTAACACGAGCCTCAGTGCTACAGAATGATCATCTCCGGTACACTGGAAGATACAGTATATCAGATTTCTCATACAAACAAAATCTACAGTACAAAAATACATGGCTAATATGGCAGGTTAGGCTCCAGACCGCTGCCAAAAAGTAAATATCACCTAAAAGCAAATCATAGCCTTTTTTTTGCTTGTTAGTGCATTTAAGAACATAAAAATATGCTGACAGCTTAATAGCAAGACAATCATCGAAAATAATAAGCAGGAATATGATTGTAAAGCGACATATTAATGAGCTATGTTTTTTTCTTAACACATCGGCCATTTCCCGAGGCAGGGTGACCCAAAAAAGAAAAAAACACTTTCATCATCATTCACTCCATCATTGACTTGTCAGAGGCGCTGATACTATAAAAAAAAAAAAAACAGCTTCCTCATCACTCACTCCATCACTGTCTTGCTGGAGGGACACTGATGCTACAGTTGAAGGCTACAAATATCCCTCACCTTAACCAGAGATAAAGATCGAAGACATCATAGACTTCTTCCAGATGGACCAGGTCCAGCAGAGTACTGGGGGTGGAGAACGGCCACTTGACCTGATGACACAACCAATCTAACGTTGCCGGCTCGTTCTGGGAAAACTGTCGAGCATACTGGGGAGGCAAAAATATTTAGTAATTAATAATAATAATAATAATAATACAGTAAGTCTTTGATTTACAAACACATTGAGAATCTTCTGTATTGTGTATATCATTATTATACACAATACAGTAGATCCAAAATGTGTCTGTAAGTCGAGGACTTCCTGTAATAATATTTAGAACACTCACTTGGATGATCAAAGACAGCATCCTGGGTCATCTATCAATTTCATAATACAAGTTCATATTTTTTTTTTTTCAACAAGTCGGCCGTCTCCCACCAAGGCAGGGTGACCCACCGAGGCAGGGTGACCCACCGAGGCAGGGTGACCCACCGAGGCAGGGTGACCCACCGAGGCAGGGTGACCCACCGAGGCAGGGTGACCCACCGAGGCAGGGTGACCCACCGAGGCAGAGTGACCCACCGAGGCAGGGTGACCCACCGAGGCAGGGTGACCCACCTAGGCAGGGTGACCCACCGAGGCAGAGTGACCCACCGAGGCAGGGTGACCCACCGAGGCAGGGTGACCCACTGAGGCAGGGTGACCCAAAAAAGAAAGAAAATCCCCAAAAAGAAAACACTTTCATCATCATTCAACACTTTCACCACACTCACACATTATCACTGTTTTTGCAGAGGAGCTCAGAATACAACAGTTTAGAAGCATATACAGTGGACCCCCGCATAACGATGGCATCACATAGCGATTATTTCGCATACCGCTTACTTTAATTGCAAAAATTTTGCCTCACATACCGCTTAAAAACCCGCTTACCGATTTTCGTCCGAGACGCGTCCAATGTGCGGCCTGAGCCACGCTCACATGTTCCGCCGGTGGCATTGTTTACCAGCCAGCCTCCGCGGTAACATCCAAGCATACAATCGGAATATTTTGTATTATTACAGTGTTTTCGGTGCTTTTTCTGGAAAATAAGTGACCATGGGCCCCAAGAAAGCTTCTAGTGCCAACCCTACAGCAATAAGGGTGAGAATTACAATAGAGATGAAGAAAAAGATCATTGATAAGTATGAAAGTGGAGTGCATGTCTCCGAGCTGGCCAGGTTGTATAATAAACCCCAATCAACCATCGCTACTATTGGTGGTACAGCTGCTGCTGCTGCTGCACTGTCAGCTGCTGCTGCTGCTGCACTGTCAGCTGCTGCTGCTGCTGTAGCACCGTTGTTGGTGTGGCTTATTGAGAATACCAAGAAACAATTAACCCCAGAGGATTTGCCACCCAGGATAACCCAAAAAAGTCAGTGTCATCGAAGACTGTCTAACTTATTTCCATTGGGGTCCTTAATCTTGTCTCCCAGGATGCAACCCACACAAGTCGACTAACACCCAGGTGAACAGGGAAAAATGCCTGGAACTAGTGCTCATATTGGTGAATTTAAAGCCAGCAAAGGTTGGTTTGAGAGATTTAAGAATCGTAGTGGCATACACAGTGTGATAAGGCCTGTTCTGGAAGAAAATGCCAAACAGGACCTACAGTACTCAGGAGGAAAAGGCACTCCCAGGACACAGTGTCTCATCAGTCATTGCTGCATCTTCAATAAAGGTAAGTGTCATTTATTCTTCATTTAGTAGACTAGTACATGCACAATATATACTGTGCATGTACTACTCTACTATTGTGCATGTATCCTTCTCTTTGTGTGTGGGAAAATGTATATTTCATGTGGTAAAATTTTTTTTTTCATACTTTTGGGTGTCTTGCACGGATTAATTTGATTTCCATTATTTCTTATGGGGAAAATTCATTCACATAGCGATTATTTCGCATAACAATTACCCCTCTTGCACGGATTAAAATCGTTAACCGGGGGTCCACTGTACGTATAAAGATACACAACATATCCCTCCAAACTGCCAATATCCCAAACCCCTCCTTTAAAGTGCAGGCAACATTGTACTTCCCATTTCCAGGACTCAAGTCCGACTATATGAAAATAACCGGTTTCCCTGAATCCCTTCAGTTCATATATATTACTAAAATCAATAATTAGTGTTAAACCCATAAGAGTCATACAGCACTGACAAGTTTATATAATATCCATATACAGGAAGGCCCTGCATATTCAGAACTTGCTTTAAAGTGTTCCACATTTTCAATGACTTTTAACTTAGCCATTGTTAATTTTGTTCGGTGATTTTATTGTTTTTCGTGCAACAGTTGCATAAGGGAACAGTGACCAGCACCATATTTTAAGGTAAGTATTGTATGTAGTGTGCATTTTACTTTGTGTCTGTTTTCTTATGCTTAGATATATTGAGCACTTAACCCTTAAACTGTCCAAACGTAGATCTACGTTTTTTCAACATTTGAAAGTATGTAAAAAACGTGGATTTTTTTTTCACACTTGAAAGCATGTAAAAAAATTTGATCTACGTTTTTTTTTTATATTTGAAAATATGTAAAAAAACGTAGATCTACTTTCGGAGCAGCGCACATGTGAACGTAGATCTGTGTTTGGACAGTTTAAGGGTTAATATATGATGTTGTAAACATGTTATCAGGTATTTTAGACACATTCTATACTTAAAAAAGTGTTTTTTTCCACTCGCTGGTAACATTCACTTCTCACTGGGGTCGGGAAGCTAAGAACCATACAAACACGGCCATCTTGTATATGAAAAGCACAAACGTCTAAGGATTTATACAGTGATTATGTATGAGGTGAAAGTGTTAAATGATGATGAAAGTATTTTCGTTTTGGGGATTTTCTTTGTTTTTGGGTCACCCTGCCTAGGTGGGAGACGGCCGACTTGTGACCTTTTCTGAGTCTAATATGAGATGTTACCTTTAAGGATAAAATTTTGTTTTTCATTGTGGGCCGCGCTGCCTCGGTGGGATATGGCCGGTTTGTTGAAAGAAGAACACCTTTAAGGATACATCACAAAATCAATTACCTTGAGGAACATAGCACAAACAAACGGCATCTTCTTGTTGATTGGAGCGCAGCAGAAGACATAACGAGAGCGCAGCGGTAGAGGGATGTGTTGTATCAAGTCTGCTTGGAACTTGAAGTCGTCCATCAGACACATGAAGTAGAGTGAGGAGTCCAGGGTACACAAACTCACAAACACGTCCTGTTGGAATTTAGCTTTTAGTAAAGGAAGCTTGCAAACATTCAACTATATAGCATTATAAAGAATAATAAGGCACAATATCATGACTGCAACAATAGACAGATATCCTGCACATAGGAGAGTGAAACTTATGATGATGGTTTGGTCGAAATCAGACCAAAATGTCATAAGTTCCCATCATCACTGGGTAAGACTCTCGTTACCTTTGGGTATTATAATAGTGTCTCAAATGGTTCATTCTTATATATCATACCTCAAAAGGAGAGCTGTAAAAAATTATCCCTTTAAGGGATTATGAGGGAAGAAGGGATACCTCTTGAATATCCTGTTTCTCTCTCAAGCTTTTATTCTGACAATGTTTGCTTCTGTATAGAGAAAAGTTTAACCCTTAAACGGTCCAAACGTATATATACGTTCACGCGCGTAGGGCCCCAAATTTTTTGAGAAAAAAAAAAATGTTTTTTAAAAGGAAAAAAGAGCATATGGTACCCAGGCATCCCAAATTATTTTAATATGGCACACAGTGAGTGCGCACACCCATCCTCTCATGTCTAGGTGACTCAGGCTTATCGTGGCAATGTTGAAAGAATGACAAAGAAAACGTATATATACGTTTGGGGCGCTACGCGCGTGAACGTATATATACGTTTGGACCGTTTAAGGGTTAAGAACAGAGGCAGACTGCAGGAGGTGTGGTGACCTATACTCAGCAGGTCATAAAAAAACTACAGGTGGTGCTTGACTTACAATGGGGTTACGTCCCGACGGACTCATCGTAAGTTCAAAATGTCATAAATATATGATTAATAAATAACTACTGTAACTAAAGACCAGTAATGAAAGGTAAATAAAAGACAAGTTTATCCTCTCAATAAATATAGAGTACTGAATATGCTTTACTATCGAGCCAATGTGAAGTCAAAACATCATAAGATAAATCATTGCAGAGAGAGGAGGATCTGTACTAAATAAGAAATTGGACCAAACTTACAATGAGGTTGGAGAGAGTGTAGCTGGGTAGATGGTAAGCAAAGAGTTCTATCTGGTCTGCTGTTGGGTGGAGACCGGCCTGTTCTATGTTGTTTGGTGTGTGAGATAAGAGCCGGCTTAACGTTGAGTGGTCTTCAGATTTCATGGTGGTTACATAGCCCTGTGGAATGTTCAATATTAGTTAATGCAGTATAAAGATAAGAAAGAACTTCCATGGGGAAGTGGATTAGAATCCTTCCTCTGTAAGTTTTTAAGTGCAGTATTAATTTTTTTTTTTCAAACAAGTCGGCCGTCTCCCACCGAGGCAGGGTGACCCAAAAAGAAAATACTTTCATCATCATTCAACACTTTCACCTCACTCACACGTAATCACTGTCTTTGCAGAGGCGCTCAGATACAACAGTTGAGAAGTCCCTCCAAACTGTCAATATCCCAAACCTGGAGATAAATGGTATAAAATTCTGACACAACGAAAAAATAAGCACAAAATGCCGTATAATGCTATCGTTTATTGACTATGAAGGTTAAGACACTTGTACAATGCTTAAGTATCTTTATTGTTGAAACATTTCGCCTACCCAGTAGGCTTCTTCAGTCAAATACCGAGGCAGCAGGTGTAGTGAAATGATGATGGAATCAGTCCCTTAACTTTGGAGAAAAAGTATTTGAGGTGGTCAGTCCCTCAGCCTGGAGAAGAGTTCAGCACCATGGTCTGGAACAAGGTGGTCAGTCCCTCAGCTTGGAGAAGAGTTCAGCTCCATGGTCTGGAACAAGGTGGTCAGTCCCTCAGCCTGGAGAAGAGTCCAGCACCATGGTCTGGAACAAGGTGGTCAGTCCCTCAGCCTGGAGAAGAGTCCAGCACCATTGTCTGGAACAAGGTGGTCAGTCCCTCAGCCTGGAGAAGAGTCCAGCACCATGGTCTGGAACAAGGTGGTCAGTCCCTCAGCCTGGAGAAGAGTTCAGCTCCATAGTCTGGAACAAGGTGGTCAGTCCCTCAGCCTGGAGAAGAGTCCAGCTCCATGGTCTGGAACAAGGTGGTCAGTCCCTCAGCCTGGAGAAGAGTCTAGCACCATAGTCTGGAACAAGGTAGTCAGTCCCTCAGCCTGGAGAAAAGTTCAGTTCCATGGTCTGGAACAAGGTGGTCAGTCCCTCAGCCTGGAGAAGAGTCCAGCACCATAGTCTGGAACAAAGCAGTCAGTCCCTCAGCCTGGAGAAAAGTTCAGTTCCATGGTCTGGAACAAGGTAGTCAGTCCCTCAGCCTGGAGAAGCATCCAGCTCCATGGAGCTTAACACTACAGCATGCCTACTGGCCCATACAAGGCAAGTTTTTCTCAAAACCAACCATTCCCACCCACCCACTTGTCCAACCTTTTCCCAAAGCTTCTCGAGAATCAGCTGCAATACCTCAGGTATTAATCAAACCCAGTCCTATTCACTCTATTTTTTCAACAAACCGGCAGTATCCCACTGCGGCAGGGCGACCTAATAAGAAAAACAAAAGTTTCTCTTTTTAAATTTAGTAATATATACAGGAGAAGGGGTTACTAGTTTCTTGCTGCCAGCATTTTAGTCGCCTCTTACGACACGCATGACTTACGGAGGAAGAATTCTGTTCCACGTCCCCTTGGAGAACTCATATACAGTGGTACCTTGAGTTTCGGCCATAATTCGTTCCAGAAGGCTGTTCAAGTGCTGTTACCGAACGAATTTATTCCCATAAGGAATAACATAAATTAGATTAGTCCGTTTTAGACCCCCCAAAAATACACTTACAAAAGCACTTACAAAAATACACTTACATAATTGTTCGAGTTGGGAGCTGTTTGAAACTAATCTAATCTATTTTTAAAACTACCCCAAGTCTTAGCTTCCATTACCCAACTCGGGAGACTGAGAACCAATACTTACCTATGTCCTTTCTAAATCTTACTTTGTTTTCTAAATACACTGGCCATCTCCCACCGAGACAGGGTGACACAAAAAAGAAACACTTTCACCCTCATTCACACTATCACTGTTTTGCAGGCAGATAGGAGAGTATTGAAATATACAGATCAATTAATCTTCTGAGTTTCTGTCTCCATGTATACCTGGAGTGTACCTGGAGTATACCTGGAGGTTGTTCTGGGGGTCAATGCCCCTTTGGCTTGGTCCACTACCAAGCCTGGTGGTGGATCAGGACCTGATCAACCAATTGTTACTGCTGACCACATGTAAATCAACGTAGGAACCACAGCTCGGCTGGTCAGGTACTGACTTTATGTCTGTCTAGCTCCCTCTTGGGTTATTTAGTATTTCTAAGTGTTCACTACACTATTTATTTATACTGAGTTAACTTGAGAGCTGATGCAACTTACATGTTCCCACTGTGTGCCATAACGACCAGCTCTTCCTGCAATCTGCAATGCTGATGACACACTGATAGTTTCCATCTCTTTCTCTCCTTTCTCATTGATGCTTGGCCGGATGAGGGAATAGAAGATGATCCGTCGAATACTCCTGCAAGGTGTAATTAACTGTTACAATATCTCGTTACAGTAAGCTTTCGAGTTAACAGACTTTAGTTTAATGGCTTTTGGAAGAGACGAAACATAGTTCAAACTTCAACATATCTCCAGCCATCACTGTACTTCCCACCTCCAGGACTCAAGTCCCGCTAACCAGTTTCCCTGAATCCCTTCATAAATGCCATTTTACTCATACTCCAACAGAACATCAAGTCGTGAAAAGCATTTGCCTCCATTCACTCCTATCTAACACGCTCGCACATGCTTGCTGGAAGTCCAAGCCCCTCACACACAAAACTGGCTGTACATAATGCTATACTAAAACAGATTATACTTACAGATTGAGGCCCATTCCAATTGCATCTGTAGCAACAAGGATCTTGCAGGGATGGTTAGGATCGTTGAACTTAAAAGCCTGAGCAAGCTTAGTACCTGGCGGTAGTCCTGAAACAATAAGTAAATAATCAACAGACAAGGCAGATGTTAATGGGATTCAAAACCCATTGATTAGGATCATTAAGGCCGCATATAACATTTTCACAACCACACAAGAATAATTTATTCCCTAAAATAGGGATTCAAATTCAAAATTCAAATACAGTGGACCCCCGCATACCGTACGCATCGCATACCGCCCAAAAACCCGCTCACCGCCCTTCGTCCGAGACGCGTCCAATGTGCGGCCTGAGCCAGCCTCATATGTTCCGCTGGTGGCATTGTTTACCAGCCAGCCTCCGCAGTAACATCCAAGCATACAATCGGAATATTTCGTATTATTACAGTGTTTTCGGTGCTTTATCTGGAAAATAAGTGACCATGGGCCCCAAGAAAGCTTCTAGTTCCAACCCTACAGCAATAAGGGTGAGAATTCCAATAGAGATGAAGAAAGAGATCATTGATAAGTATGAAAGTGGAGTGCGTGTCGCCGACCTGGTCAGGTTGTACAAGAAACCCAAATCAACCATCTCTACTATTGTGGGCAACAGAAAGGCAATCAAGGAAGCTGTTCTTGCCAAAGGTTTAACTGTATTTTCGAAACAGAGATCGCAAGTGATGGAAGATGTTGAGAAACTCTTATTGGTGTGGATAAATGAAGAACAGCTAGCAGGAGATAGCGTCTCTCAAGCGATCATAAGCGAAAAGGCTAGGAAGTTGCATGAGGATTTAATTAAAAAAATGCCTGCAACTAGTGATGATGTGAGTGAATTTAAGGCCAGCAAAGGTTGGTTTGAGAGATTTAAGAAGCGTAGTGGCATACATAGTGTGATACGGCATGGTGAGGCTGCCAGTTCGGACCACAAAGCAGCTGAAAAATATGTGCAGGAATTCAAGGAGTACATAGACAGTGAAGGACTGAAACCTGAACAAGTGTTTAATTGTGATGAAACAGGCCTGTTTTGGAAGAAAATGCCAAGCAGGACCTACATTACTCAGGAGGAAAAGGCACTCCCAGGACATAAGCCTATGATAGATCAACTTCAACAGCAAGAGGCCAGACCTGAGGAAACTGGTTCGAAGGAGGGGAGAGAGAAATTGAAGAAATTGCCTACTACAAAGATTAAGGAAATCTGTGCAAAGTGGCTTGAAGTGCAAACCTTCATGGATGAAAATCACCCTCACACAGCTATTGCAAGCCGTGCTGGTGATTATTACACTGACAATGTTGTGAAACACTTTAGGGAAGTCATAAAGGAACGAGAGGTACAGGCCACTATGGACAGATATGTTGTGCGAAAGAAGTCCAGTGACTCTGAAGCTGGTCCTAGTGGCATTAAAAGAAGAAGGGAAGCAACCCCGGAAAAGGACTTGACACCTCAAGTCCTAATGGAAGGGGATTCCCCTTCTAAACACTAACACTCTCTCCCCTCCTCCCATCCCATCAATCATCACCAGATCTTCAATAAAAGTAAGTGTCATGTAAGTGTGCATGCCTTTTTCAGTTTGTGTGTATTAAAATTAACATTTCATGTGGTAAAATTTTTTTTTTCATACTTTTGGGTGTCTTGCACGGGTTAATTTGATTTCCATTATTTCTTATGGGGAAAATTCATTCGCATACCGAACATTTCGCATAACAACCAGCCCTCTTGCACGGATTAAGGTCGCTATGCGGGGGTCCACTGTATATTTATTTCTTTTATGCAGTACATAATGTAGTCTATATGTAATATATCATTGTTAGACACAAAAAAAAAAATCGCAAGTATGCGGTGCATTTCAGTCAATTTTAAGGCATATCCAGGCTTCTAAATATGCAATAATAATATTTTTATGGATTTTTCAGAATTTTTTAAGAACATGAGAAATATTAAAAATACAGGAAAATGTACTAAAATGTTATGTAATGCAAATATTGATAATAAAGTGTAGTCTGAGAGAGAGATATGTCGGGTGGATGTTCCGGAGATAATAGATGGTTGGAATAACACACCATAGGTCAGTTGGTAACATATATTGAGAGAGTCTTGAGAGGTAACCCAGGGCCTCACTTTGTTGAGTCTATGCCTAGCTGGAATCTGAAAAGGAGGCCTGGGGGCAAGCGCTCACATGCCCGGGACTCGTGACGTCACAGCTAGCCACAGAGCCTATACAGTTAGTCAGGGATCAGATGTATAACATAGCTGGGAATCTCTATATATACTACACAAGTACAGTGGACCCCCGGTTAACGATATTTTTTCATTCCAGAAGTATGTTCAGGTGCCAGTACTGACCGAATTTGTTCCCATAAGGAATATTGTGAAGTAGATTAGTCCATTTCAGACCCCCAAATATACACGTACAAACGCACTTACATAAATACACTTACATAATTGGTCGCATTGGGAGGTGATCGTTAAGCGGGGGTCCACTGTATATTACATAAGATATCAGTGACACTACTGACAGATATACCTCTTGGTCTATACAACTTCTAGGATGAAGGAAAATGAGGTTTTTGTATTCCTGGTTTTAAAAAACTCTTCTTATATAATTCAATGTTATTCATGACCCTCAAACACTTTAAGGAACTGAAAAATGTATGGAAAAAACTCTACAAGAATGAAACCGGTTAGCCAGACTTGAGTGGTGGAGGTGGGAAGTACAGTACCTGTACTCTGAAGGATGACTGAGGATATTGCAGTTTAAAAGGCTATTTAAACTTTAACATCAGCATGCTTCTAACAAGACTTCAACTGAATGAACTATGGTGAATGAATTTCCTCTTTATCGGTCACCCTACCACAGAAAGAGACAGTCAGTATATAAAAAAAAACTCTTAAAAACTGTACTCACCACCATAAATGACAGCAACTTCGTGGCCCCTTCGTTCTATTTCCCTGGTGACATAATGAATGTCCCTCTTGCTAAAGCAGACAATGCAGTCGCCAGGGTGAATGTTATCAAAACTCTGCAGTGCATAGCTCTCTATGGTCAGTTCTGTCAGTCTCTTGTATCTTCTAACCTGTAAATAAATTACACTAAGTCCTCAACTTACAAACATATTGGGGACCTCCGGAATTGTTTACAGTATTGTGTATAATATTATCATCTCCGTGGTCTTAGGAACTCTGTCGTTAAATGAGGAGAGGCTGTATTTGACAATTTTTGTAAGGTAAATGAACACATGTAACTAATGTAACATTTTACTATGGCAATGTTTCACTCTCCAGGAACTTTGTCAAACCGTTACAGCTCAACAAACTTCCCGGACAACAAAACATTGTCACAATAAAATGTCACATCAGTCGTATGTGTCCATTAACCAGTAATTCTGCCATTATTACTAACTGACACTTTTTGCTTACAAACACACCTCTACTTCCTCCGCAGTTGCACCAGCAAGCTCAGTAACGAGGCCAATAGCCGAAGCTTCACCACATACGTGAACTTCCTTTGCACAGAGACCAAGCAAGGCTTGGGTCCAGGCCCAGCCTCTCATTGGATCGCGGATCATCTGTATCTCGTCAATTATGGCTACATCGTCTGTTGCAAAATACACAAAATATCAACTACATTATATTTGTAGGGTATTTACAAATTAAAACAATACACACTGTACAGTAGTCCCCCGTATCTGCAGATGATACGTTTCAAGACCTATCGTGGATACCCGACACTGTGGATAGTGATGAACCCTATATATAAGTCGCTTTTAAACCATACCCCGTGTCATTACGATTTCGTGAGTCAGTTAAGTCGCTTTTCATTTACATACATCCTATGATAACTGATAAAATTATGCACAATAAGTGGAGAAGTGTCAGTTTTTCACTGATGGGAAGCACTTCACAGCTTCTCTTAGGATTTTGAAGAACTCCCACCATCGCTGCTTTTGCACTTTGGGACATTATTAAGCAAAATTAAGGGCTATTTTCGGGCCAGGGCAAACCGAGGGTAACTGCAACAGCAAAAACTGGACCCACAGATACAGCGGTCTTACTGTATTGTGAGGATAAAGAATAAAAAAGCACAATAGAGTGACTGGAAAAATACACAAATAACCCGCACATAGGAGAAAGTAACTTATGACTACGTTTCAGTCCAATGTGGACCAAAACGTCGGCATGAGTTTACCTTCTCCTATGTGCAGGTTGTGCACTGTGAGGATAACTAAGATGAGAGAATGAACCAAAAACAATGGAAGTTTAAAAGACAAGAAAATAAGGATCAGAGTCACAGGGGACACGAAGATAGAAAAAATACTTCTTATCAGATTATTCATGGGAGGAAAATTATGCATGTACAGGTAGTCTTCGACTTACAATGGGGTTACGGTCCAATGAACCCATTGTAGGTCGAAAATATCATATGTCAAGTATGAATCTTCTTTTAACGCACCAGCCATATCCCACCGAGGCGGGGGCGGCCCAAAAAGAAAAATGAAAATTTCTCCTTTTAAATTTAGTAATGTATACAGGAGACGGGGTTACTAGCCCCTTGCTCCCGGCATTTTAGTTGCCTCTTACGACACGCATGGTTTATGGAGGAAGAATTTTATTCCATGCCCCCATGTAGAAAACAAATAATTACTGTAACTATCTATCAGTATTGAAGAGTAAATAAATGACTACAAGTTAAGGACTCGTCACCTTCATGTTGGGTAATAATCTTAAGTTTCACCTCCAAAGTAATTGTTGCCACACCATTGTAAAGTCAAAATCTGGTAAGTCGACATCGTAAGTTGAGGCGTACCTCTATATTCCTCTGTGCAGAGGCTTGAGGTCTACCTCAAGTTTCCCTGGAGTCAAATTCAAGTGTCAGTGCCCTTGTGGCCCTGTCCAAGACTAGGCCCATTAAACTTCATATTGTTTTCTGAGGCCTATTTGAAAACTTGGTTAATATCAGCTTGGAGATTTTCTGTGGATGGATGACACTCATGCAAATTCTAGTACTGTCAGCAAAAGAAGACACAGTGCTATGGCTTACAGATCAACCAGACTGCTGATGCTAGTTACATGCTGTAAAACATATGAACCACAGTCCAGCTAATCAGGAAAGTCAATCACAGAGAAAGGAACTTGAGCCTAAAAAAATGAAGTAACAGGCAGATTCTCATTTACTTTTAAACTTGGTAGATGGAACAATTTTTTAAGAAAAAGAACAAGATTTTTAGCAATTGATAGAAGCATGAGTGATGAATGTTATAACAAGGAGGCTGGAGGCTGTGGAGGAGGAGGCTGGAGGCTGTGGAGATGTCATGTCTGAGGACAATGTATGGTGTGAATATATGGAGAGAATCCGTAGCTTGGAGATTAGGTGTTGGGTTACTAAAAGTATTATCCAGAGTGCTGAGAGGGGTTATTGAGGTGGTGCTGAGAGAGGTTGTTGAGGTGGTTCAGACATTTAGAGAGGATGGAGAAAAAGAGGATGACTTGAAGAGTGTATAAATCTGTAGGAGGGAAGGCGGGGTAGGGGCTGTCGTAGGAAAGGATGGAGCGAGGGGGGGGCAAAGGAGGTTTTGTGTGCAAGGGGCTTGGACATCCAGCAGGTGCAGGATCATGTTAGATAAGAGTAAGTGGAGGCAAATGGTTTTTGGGACTTTACAAGCTGTTAGAGTGTAAGCAAAGTAACATTTATGAAAGGATTCAGGGAAACCGGTTAGGCAGACTTGAGCCCTGGAGGTGGAAAGTACAGTGCCTGCACGCTGAAGAATGGGTAAGGACATTTGAAGTTTTGAACTGTAATATTGGCATCCTTCTGGCAAGACAGTGATGGAGTGAGTGATGATGAAAGTGTTTCTTCTTCTTCTGAGTCACCTTACATCGATGTGAAACGACCAGTGTGTTAAAAAAGAAAATTAGGAAGAGAAATAACTTACAAGGATTACTAAGAGAAGCCATTTCCACAGTACAAGCCACGTGTTTGGCTGTTAAGTCAGCATTACTAACTTCCTCTCTTCTCCAGTCACCAGGTCACATGGAGTACCCTAAAAGTAAACAAATAATATAGTATACATATATCAAGTGCATTATTGCAATTAACCCTTAAACTGTTACACTTTATTATTTTTTTATTATTATTATTATTATTATTATTATTATTATTATTATAACCAAAAAGAAGCGCTAAACCACAAGGACTATACAGCCACTTGTTGATTGATGTGTGTATACTGCCACACACGTCGATCAACGAGTGTATTTACTGTTACATATATTGATCAAGGTTTACATTCTCACTGCCTCAATCAGCACCTTCCCAGCAGTGTGATAACATGACAATAAGATGACTCTGACTACAACATCTCCACCAGCCATGAACCCACTTCCAGGACTCAAGTCTGATAATGATGATGATGATGATTTGCTATTATTACTATTAATATTATTATTATTACTATTATATTATTATATTATATTATATTATTATATTATATTATTATATATATATATTTTTTTTTTCAACAAGTAGCAATAATGTTGAAGGATAAGCTATGGCAGGAAAAGAGGGACTATAAATGTATTAATTCAAGGATTATGTGGAGTAAAATAAAGATTGATGTGAAAAGTGGGTTATAGTAAGTGTGTATGCACCTGGAGAAGAGAGAAGTGTAGAGGAGAGAGAGAGATTCTGGGAAATGTTGAGTGAATGCGTGGGGAGTTTTGAATCAAGTGTGAGAGTAATGGTGGTTGGGGATTTCAATGCTCAAGTGGGTAAAAATGTTATGGAGGGAGTAGTAGGTAAATTTGGGGTGCCAGGGGTAAATGTAAATGGGGAGCCTTTAATTGAGCTATGTGTAGAAAGAAATTTGGTAATAAGTAATACATATTTTATGAAAAAGAGGATAAATAAATATACAAGGTATGATGTAGCACGTAATGAAAGTAGTTTATTAGATTATGTATTGGTGGATAAAAGGTTGATGGGTAGGCTCCAGGATGTACATGTTTATAGAGGGGCAACTGATATATCGGATCATTATTTAGTTGTAGCTACAGTTAGAGTAAGAGGTAGATGGGAAAAGAGGAAGGTGGCAACAACAAGTAAGAGGGAGGTGAAAGTGTATAAACTAAGGGAGGAGGAAGTTCGGGTGAGATATAAGCGACTATTGGCAGAAAGGTGGGCTAGTGCAAAGATGAGTAGTGGGGGGGTTGAAGAGGGTTGGAATAGTTTTTAAAAATGCAGTATTAGAATGTGGGGCAGAAGTTTGTGGTTATAGGAGAGTGGGGGCAGGAGGAAAGAGGAGTGACTGGTGGAATGATGAAGTAAAGGGTGTGATAAAAGAGAAAAAGGTAGCTTATGAGAGGTTTTTACAAAGCAGAAGTGTTATAAGAAGAGCAGAGTATATGGAGAGTAAAAGAAAGGTGAAGAGAGTGGTGAGAGAGTGCAAAAGGAGAGCAGATGATAGAGTGGGAGAGGCACTGTCAAGAAATTTTAATGAAAATAAGAAAAAATTTTGGGAGTGAGTTAAACAAGTTAAGAAAGTCTAGGGAAAGTATGGATTTGTCAGTTAAAAACAGAGTAGGGGAGTTAGTAGATGGGGAGAGGGAGGTATTAGGTAGATGGCGAGAATATTTTGAGGAACTTTTAAATGTTGAGGAAGAAACAGAGGCAGTAATTTCATGCACTGGTCAGGGAGGTATACCATCTTTTAGGAGTGAAGAAGAGCAGAATGTAAGTGTGGGGGAGGTACGTGAGGCATTACGTAAAATGAAAGGGGGTAAAGCAGCTGAAACTGATGGGATCATGACAGAAATGTTAAAAGCAGGGGGGGATATAGTGTTGGAGTGGTTGGTACTCTTGTTTAATAAATGTATGAAAGAGGGGAAGGTACCTAGGGATTGGCGGAGAGCATGTATAGTCCCTTTATATAAAGGGAAAGGGGACAAAAGAGACTGTAAAAATTATAGAGGAATAAGTTTACTGAGTATACCAGGAAAAAGTGTACGGTAGGGTTATAATTGAAAGAATTAGAGGTAAGACAGAATGTAGGATTGCGGATGAGCAAGGAGGTTTCAGAGTGGGTAGGGGATGTGTAGATCAAGTGTTTACATTGAAGCATATATGTGAACAGTATTTAGATAAAGGTAGGGAAGTTTTTATTGCATTTATGGATTAGAAAAGGCATATGATAGAGTGGATAGAGGAGCAATGTGGCAGATTGTTGCAAGTATATGGAATAGGTGGTAAGTTATTAAATGCTGTAAAGAGTTTTTATGAGGATAGTGAGGCTCAGGTTAGGGTGTGTAGAAGAGAGGGAGAATACTTCCCGGTAAAAGTAGGTCTTAGACAGGGATGTGTAATGTCACCATGGTTGTTTAATATATTTATAGATGGGGTTGTAAAGGAAGTAAATGCTAGAGTGTTCGGGAGAGGGGGTGGGATTAAATTTTGGGGAATCAAATTCAAAATGGGAATTGACACAGTTACTTTTTGCTGATGATACTATGCTTATGGGAGATTCTAAAGAAAAATTGCAAAGGTTAGTGGATGAGTTTGGGAATGTGTGTAAAGGTAGAAAGTTGAAAGTGAACATAGAAAAGAGTAAGGTGATGAGGGTGTCAAATGATTTAGATAAAGAAAAATTGGATATCAAATTGGGGAGGAGGAGTATGGAAGAAGTGAAATGTTTTCAGATACTTGGGAGTTGACGTGTCGGCGGATGGATTTATGAAGGATGAGGTTAATCATAGAATTGATGAGGGAAAAAAGGTGAGTGTGTGCGTTGAGGTATTTGGGTGGTAAATGCAGCAGCGAGGAGACGGTTGGAGGCAGTGGAGATGTCCTGTTTAAGGGCAATGTGTGGTGTAAATATTATGCAGAAAATTTGGAGTGTGGAAATTAGGAGAAGGTGTGGAGTTAATAAAAGTATTAGTCAGAGGGCAGAAGAGGGGTTGTTGAGGTGGTTTGGTCATTTAGAGAGAATGGATCAAAGTAGAATGACATGGAAAGCATATAAATCTATAGGGGAAGGAAGGCGGGGTAGGGGTCGTCCTCGAAAGGGTTGGAGAGAGGGGGTAAAGGAGGTTTTGTGGGCAAGGGGCTTGGACTTCCAGCAAGCATGCGTGAGCGTGTTAGATAGGAGTGAATGGAGACAAATGGTACTGGGACCTGACGATCTGTTGGAGTGTGAGCAGGGTAATATTTAGTGAAGGGATTCAGGGAAACCGGTTATTGAGTCCTGGAAATGGGAAGTACAATGTCTGCACTTTAAAGGAGGGGTTTGGAGGGATATGTTGTGTATCTTTATATGTGTATGCTTCTAAACTGTTGTATTCTGAGCACCTCTGCAAAAACAGTGATAATGTGCAAGTGTGGTGAAAGTGTTGAATGATGATGAAAGTATTTTCTTTTTGGGGATTTTCTTTCTTTTTGGGTCACCCTGCCTTGGTGGGAGACGGCCGACTTGTTGAAAAAAAAAAAAAATTATTATTATTAATCATTACTATCATTATTATTATAATTACTGTTATTATATTACTATCATTACTATTATTATTATTTCTATTATCATAATAATAATGACAGGAAGCACTAGCCTATAATGACAACAGTAATTTTTTTTATTTTCAACACACTTGCGAATGCCAATGGCGCTAAAAAATCGGGAGAGAATAAGAAAGAATGATTAGAGCTCACTTGAACAATTACAGTAAATGTTTTACAAAAAATCATTAGTACAGCATCTTTGAGAGTGTTGATAACACAGTACAGTGGACCCCCGCATAACGATCACCTCTGAATGCGACCAATTATGTAAGTGGGATTTATGTAAGTGCGTTTGTACGTGTATGTTTGGGGGGTCTGAAATGGACTAATCTACTTCACAATATTCCTTATGGGAACATTTCGGTCAGTACTGGCACCTGAACATACTTCTGGAGTGAAAAAATATCATTAACCGGGGGTCCACTGTATTCTTTCACTATTACTTTTAATATGCAGTGGAGAGTGTGTGCGAGGGAAGAAGATAACAACTTACCCTCTCATTGCTTTTATTAAAGACTTCGGTAGCCAAGAGCTTAAGGGGTCCACAATAAATTCCAGACTCGGCGTTAAGGAACTGTTCCATGGCATGGTAGGTCTTGCCACTGTTAGTGGGCCCCGCATGGAATATTATCTTACGATTCAATGCTCGTGCTTCACTGTACCTGCGGAGGATATGCATTAATGTACCGAAGGAAAGGCTAATTTTTTTAAGTGCAGGTGGGCCTGCTTTGCAGCACTTTGCTTTACGGTGCTTCACTTTACAGCATCACTTTACGGCACTTTTCTTTACGGTGCTTCACTTTACAGCATCACTTTACGGCAAATCTTCTTTACGGTGTTCACTTTACAGCATCACTTTACGGTGCTTCACTTTACAGCATCACTTTTACAGCACTCTTTTACGGCTACAAAAAGTGAATCTTATTGTAGCCAGGTGGCCCCGTGGTTAAAAGCACTGTCTGGAGTTTACCACTTTACTTGCCATGGTTATAAATGACCATACACTTTTTAAAGGGGGTGGAACGGTAAGCCAGCGGAAGGTCTCAGCAAGATGTACCAAAAAGCAAAAAAAAAAAGAAAAAAAAAAAAAACTCCAAAGGCGGGTCATCATCTGACTAAGACCCGCGTCAAGGAAACATTTATCTGTTTCCTGACAACCTTACCTAACTAACCTCCTTTACGTACACATTAAAAAAAAAATTACGCAACGCAGAGCCTGGGGCCTGGCGAACCTAGATCAACAAACCCTTTTTGATCTAAGGTTAAATACATTAACAAAATGGCAAGCATTATATACAAACAATACTGTGTATAAAAATAAAATATCTGATAGTCTTTCATCTAAATATATTAAAATTGTAGACCTTGTTCAGTACAAGGATTTATTATTATTACTTATATTATTGAGGTTCCATAAACAAATACAGTGGACCCCCG